TTCCTTTCTCCTACCTCGGATACTTACCCCTCCTGATGAGGCTAGAACTGGCTCTAGCCGAAACCGGTCGAGGGAAGCCAGACAGCCATCACCAGGGTTAGCCTGGCTATGGCTTCCTCTTGAGCTTTGTTGCAGATCTTTCGAAGAGATACTCTTGGTGTTGCAGAAGAGTAGTAATTTCCGAGTTTTCACATATTCTGGCGGGTTGTATTTTTCAGCAACTTGCTTATGTGTCGCGTGCCGCTGATCGAACAACGCAAGAGAGTTTAACTACAGCTGGTTCAAGCGAGCCCTCTTAACCAACAAGCCTTTTGCCCGTCCATTCACTGAATCTAACACCACGGCAACATCAGATGCATACTTGTTTGTACCAGTGCCACGATAACTGGAATGTCTTCTCTCAATGTAGGTGCAACGCACCAGCTCAGTAAGATCCGCAATTGTCTATAGAAACAGATGGTCGCAATGGAAAAGAGGGCAAGCAGGGAACGACAAGACTGTCGTCACTACCAGGATAAAGAATGCGATAAATGGCAATATTACCATGTACCCTTGCCACTGCATGTACCCATGCTGATTATGCACCTGACATATGCAGAGCCCAAGTGCATTCTGACATATGTGCCTGTGTTGATAAGGTACCTGGACATATGTAGAGCCCAAGTGCATTCTGGCATGGATACGCAAAATTTGAAGCAATCTTGGCCTTTCCCCGAGAAGAAAAGGAAAGCCGGATTCAGGGCAATCTTGGCCTTTACACGCATACAAAGGGAGAAATGACAAATAGAATTCTGACAAGCAAGGAGTGGTGGAAGGATAGGTATACATAGCCGTTCATGGACTTGGACGGATTAGATCAACTAGATTCAAAAAAATAGATCGAATGGACCCGGTTCCCAGCACGTGCTGCTCCCCACGAATAGATTGGAGCCTAGTTCCCAAAAAAAAAAAAAAAAAAAAAAAAAAAAAAAGTGAAAAAAAATATGAATAGATTGGAGCCTTGTTCCCAAAAAAAAAAAAAAAAAAAAAAAAAAAACAACTACAAAATGCTTAGTTGGGTTGCATCACAGTGCACAGGTCGAATTAGACTGGATTGAGACTGGAGTAGAAAGGAATCGGATGGGTTAGGTAACGTTAGGCCGCATTAGACTAAGTGTTAAAGGCACTAAGATTAATTTTATCCTTACCAACACTGAATGGGTTTCATACATGGCGCGTAATTCTCAATAGATTGGACTACGAACTATCCTCTTCCTCCGAATAGAACATTCGGTCATTATATGCATTTGGCCCAACTTTCAGTACAGATGCAGCGAAAATGACAGTACGTTCTGTTCGGGTGAAGACGGTAGTTGGGTTGCATGACAGTGCAGCAATTGAATATACTAGACTGGGATGAGACTGGATTAGAAAGGATTTGAGTGGTTAGATTGGACTCAAATGAAGATTCGATGAGATTATGCCGCTAGCATTAAACCTATCCTGGTCAGTATTGAGAGAAGAGAGGTTCATATACGGTGCGGTGCGTAATCAAATAGACTGCACTACGAATTGGTTGGGTTGCATTACAGATCACCGATTGCATTAGACTCGATCAGACTGGGTTCATACTGGATTAGAAGGATTTGAGTGGTTAGATTGGCTTGAGATTTTTATTTTTATTTTTTTTAACAGGTCCTTATGGTCCTGGCTCCGTATCCATTCTGGGGAGCGTCAGTCCGGTTCCTTTCCACCGGTAAGTCAAAAATTGGATTACATGGTGAACACCCTCACGCTTCCTTCCGTTTGGCCGAAGGAACCCTGACCAGCATTGAAGGCAATGGCTCATAGCGCACACCTCACTGCCAACCAACCAATGGCTCCACAGAAGGAGAAAACACACAGACCCCAACAGCACTGACCTATGCAAACTCTGCACAGACGACGTCCCAGAAGACATACCCCACTGCCTCCTGTACTGCACGGAAGCAGCATGGATATGGAACAAGGTGCGCAACCTGTGGTCCACTCTCTTCTCATCACCCCCCCCGCTCGCAACTCCCCTGAACATCCTGCTCCTATCTAACAACACTAACAATCTCAAAGGCGGCAAGGAAGTATGGTTCCAGCTACTCAGGAAGCTGGCCCTATGGGTTATCTGAAGAGGAGATGCACCAAGACGATTGAAGGAACTGAGGTGCCAAGAGAAGAAATGTGGGCTCTACTACTGAGAATGGCTGAGACTGAGATTAGATTCAGATAGAGGGAAGTAACATCGACGACGAAAGCCAGACCAGAAACGATAGCCACAAAGAGAAGGGTGTTCAAAAGAGACTGGCTTCTACAGGGAAGGATCGCCACTGTGGTGGAAAACAGATTGATTTGGAAAAAGTGGCACAATACAAGGATAGGACCACAATGATAAGCAAACTGAGATTAAAATCGCAACAGTATAGACATCTCTCCCCTTTTCTTGCTTCATATGTATTATCTGACAGAGTCACAGCAGACTCTGAGAGGAAAAGTGCTAGGGCAAGCTGATTGCCTTGAGATTTCGATTTAGATCAGAAACAGTTTTCTCAAGACTGGCTGGGAGGTGACCAAGGGGGGTGGATAGCGGAGATGGTCTGGGATAGGGGGACGGAAGACGGCCCCTCACGGCAACTACGGGAATACAAGCTGTTTTTTCACAATTGGTCTAGGACGGACGATTCTATCCCTCTGCATGCCCCCTATGAATTTCCAGAGCTGTTGCCCCCCCATTGCTCTTTCCATGGTAGAAGCACGGTAATATGGGGGAAAGTAGTGTTGTTGTTTTTTTTGGATGCTACACAGCTGTTCGTAATATGGGTTTCTAGGCGGTCATATTTTTTCTGCCACCCATTGACAAGGTTGAAGAGGCATACCTTGCATCACCACCTACCGGACCACAGTGAATCCCCCGGATTACCCGGGGCAATCGATGCTGACGGGGACAGAAGATTTATCGGACTGACTGTAATCGCTGTCCAAAAGGGACGCTGGACCCGTTTTCCACCAGGTGCAGCTCCCCACCAATAGACACAGCAACCGGGGGCACCTACTACGAGGAGGAGGGGTAGGGGAGCCTGCGCTCATCACTCCCTCTAGTAGTGGCTAGCGGTTTTCTGCAAAAAAAAAAAAAAAAAGGATTAGAGGGTTTGAGTGGTTCGATTGGATTTAGATTTAGATTTAGATTTAGATTATAGACACGAATAGGCGGATTAACCTTTACTAGATGACCTACCTGTTGCGGCTCGCAAAACCAAATACGACGGGTGATTCATTCATTGTGGAGGAAACTAATCGTTGCAAACTCTCTCTCTCTCTCTCTCTCTCTCTCTCTCTCTCTCTCTCTCTCTCTCTCTCTCTCTCTCTCTCT